GAGGGATGGGAGGATGGGAGCAGGGATGGGAGAAGGGGTGAGGAGGGATGGGTGAGGTCATGGGAGAGGGAATGGGAGTGGAAACAGAAGTAGAGATGGGAGCAGAGATGAGCAGGGATGGGAGTGGGGATGGGAGTGGGGATGAAAGCAGTTATAGGAGCAGGGATGGGTGCAGAGATGGGAGCAGGGATGAGCAGAGATGAGAAGGGATGGGAGGAGCAGTGGGAGCAGGAACATGAGGGGAATGGGAGCAGGGACACGAGTGCAGGAATGGGCGTGGGGATGGGAGCAGAGATATGACCAAGAATGGGTGCAGGATGGGATCGGGGATGTGAGCGGGGATGAGTGCCAGGGATGCAGGGACATGTGGCACTGCCCTCCTTCCCACATCCTTGGGCAATGCTGCATGCTCTGGCTGGGTGCCTGCCCCTCCCAGGTTGCAGGGTGACACTGGGAGTGTTTGCTCTAGCATGGGCGTGGGGATGGGAGCAGAGATATGACCAAGAATGGGTGCAGGATGGGATCGGGGATGTGAGCGGGGATGAGTGCCAGGGATGCAGGGACATGTGGCACTGCCCTCCTTCCCACATCCTTGGGCAATGCTGCATGCTCTGGCTGGGTGCCTGCCCCTCCCAGGTTGCAGGGTGACACTGGGAGTGTTTGCTCTAGCAGCACCCAACAGCTCAGGGTGTCCCTGGTACCCCCATGGCCTGCACTTTCCCTGAGCCACAGAGGGCAGGAGTGGGGTGGGAGTGGGAGGCATTGGGGAGCTGAGCTGCAGGTGGGCACTGGCAGCCTCAACTCCCCCATGGGGTCTACCCCAACTCCTGCTCCTGGTCCTCGCTGATGGCCTCTCCGTGTCCCAGGAACGTGGACCGCCCTGAGCTGTGCCAAATCTCCCTTTACGACTTCCAGAAGTTCCTGCTGCACGACCAGAAGGTGGGTGCCCTTAGAGACCCCTGTGGCGTCCCTCTCAGCTCCAAGCCCAGGGACCCCGATGGGATGCCCCAGCCTGGTTCCCCTTGTAACAACAGCCGTGTTTCCACCTCAGGAACCCTGGGCCAGCGACGTGGGCATGGTGCGGGACTACATGTGCACCTACCTCAAGGAGGGCTCCAGTGAGGCAACAGACCCCTCCTTCCAGCTGGACGAGGTGGGTGGCCCCACATGGCACCTACCGAGGGGTGTCTCCCTAGCCTTAGCACTCGCTGACCTCTCTGCTTTCCCCCTAGTTCCTCACGTACCTCTTCTCCAAGGAGAACATGGTGATGGATGCCAAGTATGAGCGTGTGGTGCCTGAGGAGATGAACCACCCCCTGTCCCAGTACTGGATCTCCTCCTCCCACAACACGTAAGGACAGGGTGGGCTCTCCTCAGGGACCTCCGTGAGCATCCCATCACCCTGGCCGGGGCAACCTTGGCCACTGATGGTTCTTCTCATTCTCTGCAGGTACCTGACAGGGGACCAGTTCTCCAGCGAGTCCTCCCTGGAGGCATACGCCCGCTGCCTGCGCATGGGCTGCCGCTGCATCGAGCGTGAGTCCCCCCAGCACCACACAGAGATGCTGAGCAGCCCCCCAGCACCCTGTGTCACATCAGATGACTGTCCCATGTACCCATCCCATGGCACCAGGGTGGGGGGATCTTTCATGTCCTTCAGGGGCTCGAAAACAATGTGCAGTTGGTGACCAGCATGTGTTAACCAAGGTGTCTCCCCACTCAGTGGACTGCTGGGATGGCCCAGACGATCTTCCTATCATCTACCATGGCCACACACTCACCTCCAAGATCAAGTTCCTGGATGTGCTGCACACCATCAAGGAACATGCATTCGTCACCTCTGAGTAAGCTCCAGACCACCCAATGACATCCCAGTTCTGGGCCAGGCAGGCAACCTCTCCTTTGCCTTCATCCCAAGCTACTATTCCCACCTGCTTCCTCCAGGTTCCCCATCATCCTCTCCATCGAAGACCACTGCAGCATCGTCCAGCAAAGGAACATGGCCTCCCACTTCAAGAAGGTTTTCGGGGACATGCTACTCACCAAGCCAGTGGACATCAATGCCGACGAGCTGCCCTCACCCACCCAGCTCAAGAAGAAGATCTTAATCAAGGTGTGGGGCGGGCACCACCCCAAAGCCCCTCTTTGTGAGAGGGACAAGAACCATGCTGGGCTGGGAGGAGTGGTGATTATCTCAAATCTTGGGACTCAAGAGCAATATCTCTCTGTGCACATGCAGTACGACATCAGAGAGACGTCCTACTGTAAGAGGCTGTCAAGGGGAACAGGGGGTGGTGGAGGGGAACCTGTAGGAGCCCAGGCGTGGCCTGAGGGCTGGGAGCTCAGCGTGATGGGGACACCATACCCACTGCTGAGCTCCCCTGCCTGGGCTGTCCCCAGCACAAGAAACTTGTCGAAGGGAACCTGTACGAGGAGGTCTCCACTGCCAGTTACTCAGAGAATGACATTAGCAACTCCATCAAGAATGGCATCCTCTACCTCGAAGACCCCATCGATCATGTAAGAGCCTCCCTGCTGCTGGTGGCTGAGGGCTGAGTGGTGTCTGTTGGATGGGGATGAGCATCAGGGTTTGGGTTGGGCAAGGGGCATGGGCTCTCCCAGACCACTGCAATGCCGTAGGGAGATGGGGGAGGGGCAGAAACAGAGGTCTCAAAGCCCCATCCTTCCATGCCACCATCCTGCCAACCCTGGTGATGCTCTTCTTCCCTCCCAGACCTGGAGCCCCCATTATTTTGTCCTGACAAGCAACAAGATCTACTACTCAGAGGAGACATCCCGCTACCAGTTCAATGAGGACGAGGAGGATGTGGAGCAGAAGGAGGTGTGTGTGGAGCAGGATGTGCCCATGAGGTTGGGGGGGACACTAGCCCCAGGGCATGTCTTCTATTTTGGGGTGAACTTGTAGGAGTTCAACAACAACGAGCTGCACTTCACGGAGAAGTGGTTCCACGGGAAGTTGGGAGGTGGCCGCGATGGACGGCAGATCGCTGAGAAGCTGCTGCACGAGTACTGCACCGAGACAGGTGGCAAAGATGGCACCTTCCTGGTGCGCGAGAGTGAGACCTTCGTGGGTGACTACACCCTCTCCTTCTGGTAGGAGCCTCGGGGGGAAGGCAGGATCCCACCCTCCCCCAGCCAGTCTGGGCATCCCACCAGAGGTCCAGCTGATCCCTGGGTTGGTGGCCGGAATGGCATTTGGGGTGGAAACACCACATTTTTTCATGGCACGTGGACCCCCAAGCGTGGGATGGTGGGGACATGAACCCAAGTTGACTCACTCCTGCCTTCTCCCCACCACCGTGTCAGGAGGTCCAGCCGGGTACAGCACTGCCGGATCCACTCGCGGCAGGTGTTCTACCTGACGGACAACTTGGTCTTCGACAGCCTCTACAGCCTCATTTGCCACTACCGCGAGGTGCCGCTCCGCTGCAACGAGTTTGAGATGCGCCTCACCGACCCCGTCCCCCAACCCAATGCCCATGAGAGCAAAGAGTGAGGGCCGTCCCCAACCCCATCCCCATCCCCTTGGTCTTCTGGGTCCACCAGCCTCCTCCATCCCTGTTGTCAGGTCTTGGGTGCCCCCCAGGATGTGGGGATGCCAGCACTATCCCACTGCCTCTGTTCTCTGCCCGGCCAGGTGGTACCACGCCAGCTTGACACGCCTGCAGGCTGAGCACATGCTGATGCGGGTCCCACGTGATGGAGCCTTCCTGGTGCGCAAGCGCAGTGAACCCAGCTCCTACGCCATCTCCTTCCGGTGAGTGCAGCCATCTCAGCACCCCGAGGCTGGCCGGGCTCGGTCACAGTGCCCACACTGCCATCTGAGCTGAGAACTGCTCGTTTCATGTCTGTTGTGACTCCATGCCAGACGGTGGGGGGTTGCTCTCGGTCAGCAGGGTGACATGATGGGACACAAGATGCTGTCATGGGGAGGCTGCAGTGATGGGAAAGCCGCGTCCTGAGGGCAGTCACCCCAGTGGCATCCCTGCCAGGGCAGGGCATCACCTCCTGCCTGTCCCCATCATGGAGCCAGGGTCTGGCCACCCCTCACATATCCCCCTCATCTGTCTCGGCCCCAGGGCAGAGGGGAAGATCAAGCACTGCCGCATCCAGCAGGAAGGTCGTCTCTTCATGCTGGGCAGCTCAGCTGAGTTTGAGAGCCTCGTGGACCTTGTCAGCTACTATGAGAAGCACCCGCTCTACCGCAAGATGAAGTTGCGCTACCCCATCAATGAGGAGACCCTAGAGAAGATGGGCACCACTGTGAGTGCTCCTGGCAGTGGGGATGGTGGGAATGGGGGCTCTGTGCTGCGGGCAACCCAGTCCCGTCCCCAGCTCCACCATGGTGTGAAGCTGTCCTCCAATCTCTTGGGTGAAACCCAACCAGAACCAGCCAAGCTTGTTCTGCAGCCATTGCCCAGGGTTATAGCACAACTGTAATTCCCTTCCAATGAGTTGTAATGGGATATTAGGTCCCTCTCAACCGTCCTCTTGACCACACATGGTGGCCTGGCTCCCACCACATCCCCTGGTAGTCCCTGCCTGCATCTGAGTGACCCACTCAGGCATATCTCCTTGTAGGAGCTGGACTATGGAGCCCTGTATGAGGTGCGGACCCCCCACTTCTACGTAGAGGCCAACAAGATGCCGATGGCCAGGGTAAGGGGTCAGTCTGATGTGCCTGGGATGTGGAGGGTGCTGGGACATGACAGTTCTAGTGCTGGGGCTCCTTGGCAGTCGTCCCCCAGACCCACCACATCTCCCACCACTGACCTGAGAAGTGGTGGTGTTTTGCTGCATTTTTCTGACCCTTGAGTGATGCTGGAGCTGATGAGACCTTTCCTGCCTCCCCATCACTTGGGGATAGTCCGAGTTCCACCGACAGCATCGCAATGATGTGGTGGGCAATGACTAGAGAGAGCCCAGCCTAGAGCAAGGACCTGGCACAAGTACACCCCAACAGTGGATCACTTTGCATTGGGGAATCCTGAAAGAGCAGGCTTAGGGTCAGTTCCCAGGTGGTGGAGTCTCCATCCTCGGAGGTTTTTGGGACTTGGCTGATGTGGTAGCTGGCCCAGTCTCCATCCTCAGAGGTTTTCAGGACCAGGCTGGTGTCAGAGCTGACCCTGGAGGAGGCTGGACTGGAGCCCCAAGGTTCCTTCCCTGTGATCCTACAATCCCATGGTCCAGCACTGCTGTGCCTTAAAGGTTCTTTTGCAGCAAAGCAGCTCTCAGGCTAAGACCAAACACAGGAAAGCTTAATCCAAAGGGTTTTTTTCCAGTGAGTGTGGTAATATCAGGGGATTAACCCCTTCAGTGCACCAGGAGAAACCATTGGAGGACCCAGAAAAGGAACACACTTTGCACTGAACATGGTGGTTCTACAGGACCTCCTGCCCTTGAGCAATTTGGGGGCATTATTTGGGGTGTTGGACCCTCAGGACCCCCCACGCTCCACCGTGGGGGCTCGAGGAGCTGGGCTGAGCAAGCAATGCTGCCCGCCAACATCCCAAGCACTGGGTGGTGACGCATGTCCCTCTCCCCGGTGGTCCAGTGCACGGTGAAGGCTCTCTACGACTACAAAGCACAGCGGGAGGATGAGCTATCATTCTGCAAGCAGGCCATCATCCACAACGTCGACAAGCAGGATGGCGGCTGGTGAGGGCGGTTGGGTGGTCTCCGGGTGGTCATCGCTGTGGGTGGGAGGTGGAGGGGACACCCTGGGTTTTCCTGTGGGTCATCCTGCAGTGGGTTTTGACTGCCTTCTTTTCTGCCTCTCCACCCCTTCTCCAATCGTTCCCCAACATTGCATGCAGTATGAACACCCTTGTCCCTTCCCAAATCGGTCCACTTGCCTTGATCCTCTCACCCCTTGCAGGTGGCGAGGGGACTACGGGGGCAAGAAGCAACTGTGGTTCCCAGCCAACTACGTGGAGGAGATCGTCAGCGCACAAGCACAGGAGCAGGATGAGGCCGTGAGTGTCCTGTCCCCATGCACCCAAGACCAAGGCTGCCCAAGATGGTCCCAGCCTTGTGCCAGCCTGGACCCTTATCCGGAGGCCGGGGGATGCTCAACTGTGGAGCAGAGGATGCCAAGAGCATGTTTTTTTCTCTGCTTTTGCTCAGATTTGGCTAATTCTGAGGGCTGGAGGGAGGCTGTCAAATGGAGCGGGCACTGGGCTCGGCCCTGCACAGCCGCCCCCCACCACCACCTCTTCCTTCCTCTCTTGCAGTCATCGGAAAACAGCCCCCTGGGGAACTTCTTGAAAGGCTTCATCGATGTGCCATCCTGCCACGTCGGTGAGTGTCCCCAGCGTGGCTGTGGGAGCGCACCGGGACAGCACACACCCTGTGCTGGATCTCAGTGCCATGAGCTGAGGCTCCCCAAACTCATCATGCAATTGCTAGCCAGGCTCGTGCTTGGCACAACGTGCCAGGGAGCATCGTGGGGCTGGGTTCGGAGGGATTTGGCTGATTTTGAGGGGATTCAGAGGAATTTGGAGGTCTGGATGATTCAGGGAATATTTACCTCTGGCTGTAAGGAAAATGCATTTCAGAGTGGAAAGCTGAAACCATTCATTAGAAAAATGGGAGTCTCACAAGAGGAGGACCCCAATGACTGGTGGGGTGCCAGTGGGGGCTGGTGGGGGCCTGGGAGCGGGACCGCTGAGGTTTCATTTGCTCCACAGAGCCAACAGTTGGGAATGTCTTCAAGTAAAGCCCCCCTCTGATGTCCTTATAGTTATCTCCAAAGACGGGAGGAGCTCCAAACCATTTGTCTTCACCATCCATTCCCAGCAGATGTCCCACGCAGCCCAGTCACTGGACGTGGCCGCGGACACGCAGGAGGAGCTCAGCGAGTGGGTGGCCAAGATCCGAGAGGCCACGCAGAACGCCGACGCCAGGGTGAGGGGCACTGGGGTGCAGAGGATGGGGGTGCATGGTCCCATCCCCAAGCGGATCGTCCCCAACATCTTCAAAGGAGGCGGCTGGGGGAAGACTTTTAGCTCCTGTTTTCCTTTGTGCAGATGCAAGAGGGAAAGATCATGGAGCGGAGGAAGAAGATTGCGCTGGAGCTCTCCGAGCTGGTCGTGTATTGCCGCCCGGTGCCATTCGATGAAGACAGTAAGAGCTGGAGAAGGGGGGTGATGGAATGAGCATGGGAAGAGATGGGTAGGGGGAACCAAGTGGTCATGGTGGGCCAACCCCTAGGCCACCAGAGGGTCCCATGTCCTCCACTGATGGTCACCTTGGTGCTTTCAGAGATTGGCACGGACAAGGCATGCTACCGGGACATGTCCTCCTTCCCGGAGACCAAGGCAGAGAAGTACGCCAACCGCAGCAAGGGCAAGAAGTTCCTGCAGTACAACCGGCGCCAGCTCAGCCGCATCTACCCCAAAGGGCAGCGCCTAGACTCCTCCAACTATGACCCATTGCCCATGTGGATCTGCGGTAGCCAGCTCGTGGCCCTCAACTTCCAGACCCCCGGTAAATCCTGCTCCTGGGGTGGTTGCTGGGCTGATCCCCTCAGGCCACCCTAAAATCCCCATCCCCAGTGGCTCTGCCCTGGGCTCTGTTGCTGAAGGTGGTTTGGACAATCGGTCCAATGTTTATTCTCATCCTGGTGGGGACATCTCCATGCAATTCTTGGGTGCTTCATGCAAAACCCAGCTGCATCCCTTCTCCAACCAGGGCTTGGGGGCTCTTAGCAGGGGGTTTGCCAGGGCAGGACCTCCTGCCCAAGTTCTGTGGGTAAGTCCCTGAGCCCCGCAGCTCAGAGCTGCTCTGTCCCCACGATCACAGACAAGCCGATGCAGCTGAACCAGGCGCTCTTCATGCTCGGTGGCCGCAGCGGTTACGTCCTGCAGCCAGACATCATGAGGGATGAGACATTCGACCCCTTTGACAAGAACAGCCTGAAGATCGTGGAGCCCATCACGGTGCAGCTGCAGGCAAGTGGGCAAGGACAGCAAGTCCACCCTGAGGTGGTCACATCAAGATGGGGGCTTGCTTCTTCCTCCATTTTGGGACAATTGGGAGTGGTTTTTACATGTTTCAGCCCCATGTTTGCTTCGTGGAGATCACTACCCCATGATCTCTTTGGTTTGTTGGTCTTTGCTTGCAGCATCAGGAGAACCCCACAATTGCACAGAGCTGAGCCCAACCTGAGCAAGAGCAAGGTGGAGAGTAAAGTACATAAAACTAGCTCAGAAGCTCCTTACCCAACCCTTGGGTAATTTCAGTGTTAGTGCTAGGATGGGTTGGTTTGTAGGCATCTTGAGCATGGCATGAATCCAGCAAAGGTTTTTTAAAAAATTTGGCAGATACAGCTAAAATTAAGATAAATCCAGTCCAAGGTCATAAATAACGTGTGGTGTGGCTAATTATGGCCATGAAGCTTTTGGCAAGCCCAAAACACCCAAAATTTTTTACGATGAGGGTGGTGAAACACTGGCATAGGTTGCCCAGGGAGGTGGTAGATGTCCCATCCTTGGAAACATTCAAGGTCAGGTTGGACAGGGCTCCGAGCAACCTGATCTGATTGAAGATGTCCCTGCTCATTGCAGGGAGGTTGGACTAGATGACCTTTAAAGGTCTCATCCAACCCAAACCATTCGATGATTCTATGATTCTAAAATGCCCAAGCCATAGGGTTGCCTCGGAGAGTCCTTCCTCATCTGATGTAGCCAGAACTCACCTTCCTCTTCCTCCTGCAGATCCTTGGTGCCCGGCACCTGCCCAAGAATGGGAGGAGCATTGTGTGCCCCTTCGTGGAGGTGGAGGTGTGCGGCTCAGAGTACGACAACAGCAAGAACAAGACAGATGTTGTAGGTGAGGGTCCACGTGAGTGACGTTCCCATGCAGCCCCTGCTCCCCAGGGACAAGTGGGGACACCAGGACATCCCTAACTGTGCCCTTTGGGGTCCTCTTGGACATGTGAGTAATGGGGATGGGTTTCATGGAGTAACGAAGAGGACAGGCATCTCCCACTAACGTGTTGGTGCCATGCCAGTGATGTCCATGCCTCCAGCCCATGCCTCTGACCCTCCCTGCTCTCTCCTCACCCCGCAGCTGACAACGGCTTCAACCCCGTCTGGCTCTTCAAGCAGTTCGTCTTTGACATCAACAACCCCGAGTTTGCCTTCCTCCGCTTCGTGGTGTATGAGGAGGACATGTTCAGTGACCCCAACTTCTTGGCACAAGCCACCTTCCCTGTCAAGGGCCTCAAAACAGGTATATGGTCCCTCCATCTGCACCATCATCATCATCATCATCACAGAATCATAGAATGGTTTCACTTGGAAGGGACCTTTAAAGGTCATCTAGTCCAAATCCCCTGCAGTTATCAACATCATGATCATCTCCTCAGGATCTGGCCACGATGAGGGTCTCAGACCCTGCCATGGCGCTGAGCTCATGTTGTGGTGTTGTGTCCAGGTTACCGGTCAGTGCCGTTGAAGAACAGCTACACTGAGGACCTGGAGCTTGCCGCCCTCCTCATCCACATTGAGATCATCAACGCAAAGGCAGGTGGCCCAGGCAGCTCAGGGAACCCCGTGCCTCAGTTTCTCCAGTTGGAGCAAAGAGGAACAGCACCCTGCGGAGTCCTGCCCAACCCACTAGCCTCATACCCTTGTGTCAGAGCAGGAGGAAGACGAGGAGAACCTCTACTCGTCCATCCAGCAGCTACGGGACCATGCCAGTGAGCTCTCCAGCCAGGTCTCCAGCTATGAGCGCACCAACGGCTGTGACTCCCGCTACCAGCAGCGCCTCGACGAGTTACGGGCAGCTCAGGAGCGGCTCATGGAGCTCACGGAAGTCCGCAACCGCAAGTGAGTGTCCCCTCCCTGTGCCTTCAGGAGATCCCTTTCAGGAGGGTCCCTAAGGCCACCACCTTGCTCCCCACCAGGTTGATGGAGAAGAAGAAGAGGGACCGGCAAATGGTCACCAAACGCAGCTGAGCTGGATGGACACAAGCCCG